AAATACGCGCCGTAGGGTTAACGGGAGAGATTCGCGTGGGATGATCCATGGTGACGGAGCGACGACGGTGCGCCGCGTGAACGCTTTCATTAATTGAAAGCGGGGGACTCTAAGTCGCTTTAGCCGACCGAGGGGTTGGGAAGGGGAGAAAGGACGGCGTAACAGCGATCCGGAGTTCGACCCTATGTTGGAATTAATCCAGGTGAGCCGAACTTGGATTTGGGCGCCGGCTAAGCCTGGCTTCTTGGTGACTTAACCGGCCACATGACCTCCGAGGCTTCGTCTTACCTCTGACGCGGACGCCAACGTTACGGCGGTGTAACTCCCCACTTAAAGAGGATCTTCCCTAACTCCGCCGAATATATCCTCTCTTCGGTGATGATTTATCCTTCCGAACTCTCTTTTACGCTATAAATTTATCGGATAAAATTTTCCTTCGTTAATCAAAGTTAATGAAACCTCGGATCTCTTATATTAAGAAATAACGCGTTTTGATTTTTGTTAAGATAAAAAATTTTTAATCGACGTACCTTTTCTCGAGATATATTTAAAATATTTAGACAATGGTTTACTCGATACATTAAAAGTTTACAATTTAATAATTTGCTTTCTGAAGAAAATTGCCATTTTATACTGATTTCTACCAAAATATAAATTGAAATTGATTATGCGGCCAATTTAATTATCCGCGTCACTATAGATATAGATAATGAAATAAATCGACTCCGAAAAATAATCCGATAATAGGTTCATCGATTCTTTCTACAATCTTAAAGAACACGCAGAAATAATCGACAGAAATAACGATCGATCAAGATACAAGCAAAGTTTCCGATGTTCCTGACAGATAGAAAAAGTTTCGGACGATCGGGAATTTTTTTCAAGGATGGAATCCCCACGCCGAGGGATATTTTTCTCAAATAATCCAAGCGGTTAGATTTCGTCCCTGGCCCTACTGCAAGTCCGATTAGTGATCTAAACTTCGATGAACTTAGGATTCGGGAATCCGTTGGGATATGCGATCTCTCTCTCTCTCTCTCTCTCTCTCTCTCTCTCTCTCTCTCTCTCTCTCTTCGTCTTTGCGAATCCCGTTAGTCCTTTCTCGCAAGGATCGACGATATAAGGACCGGTTTATCTTTACTACCCTGGCACCAGACGTTTCTCCGTAGAACTCGATTAAACTTCCATTGCAACTTTTACGAGACAGTATCGGAGGCTTAGGGTTGTATACGATCGCTAAATGTACCAATTCCCCGTCGAACGCATTCCGCGCGTAAGGATGATAATAAATTGAAAAATTATCTGTCGATCTCAGAAGCACACGTTACCGAAAAACACAAATATCACGAGGAATGAGGGGCGCGAAACATCGAATGAAATTACTCGAGCGCTGTGAAAGCGTAATATTGTAAGATATAGGAGACTGGAAGAACTTGATTTATATTAGCACAGAGCGGCGAGTTCGTTTTTTAAATTTACAACGGAGAAAAATAAAAAAATGAATGAAATATTTAAAAGCTTAAGCCGTCACACACGAGACAGCGCGCGCGCCGCCACCATAAATCTTCCTCCGCTAAATTGTCAAAAGCTTTACTGCAGTTCATCCACAGAGCTGGATGAATTTACGAGAGTTTCTTAAGCTCGTCGCAATAGGAGCCCGCCTGTCACTTATGTGTACTCACACGTGACATGCTCGCTGTATACGCTTTACTATGACTTTCATAAATCTTCCTTTATAGTCCGGTCGAAGGCGCTAGAGTAATTATACAAAAAAAAAATGTTACTTACGTAATATTACTTGTGTACAATAGTATACAAGATTAATAAATATAATAATCTGCGTCAATTATGTACTAAATAAAACCTTCGCGATTATGTCAAACTAGGGCGATAAGTAAGAATTTTACACAAACTAAAATTTTACATTTATCCATTTTTTTTCTTGTCTAGTGACTCGTTAATATTCTCATACACAGAACTTATTTACAGTGTAGCTGCGCACAGGCTCTTATATACGGTCGCGTGAATACACATCTTAAGCGGCGCAGGCGAAAGATAGGTCCAAAAGTTTGTAAAATTCTGACAAACAAGCTATGCATCTATGAAAAATATTTCAATGCAAAAAATGTAAATTAAAAAAACAATTTTTTTTAAACGCAACTTTAATAGCGTAACGAATGCGAGTTTATTTTGCGTGATTTTAAATGTCGAGTACGCGCTGAGAAGGTTCTCGAGAGGAAAGTTCTGGCTTATATACCTGGCGCAATTACTCGGCATTTTTTGCAAATCCCCGTACATTTCCTGGAAAAATCTCTGCTCGCGAGCTCGAGTGCACGTGTGTCTCGTTAAACGACGAGATCTTGAGATCTCCCTTCCAGAATGTATCAAGATGCTTCGTGCTACGGAAGGACGGCATTTTCTTCCGCACGCAGCTCGGAAAGCTCATTTACACGGTCTGACACTTGTGGTCCCCGGCATAATACCTGCGTGAACCTTCCTTAGGTTATGGGGGTCGGTCATGGCGGCAGATATCTGAGCTGCCGGCTGATTAAACCCGGGGTTTTACCGGGGTATTATCGCGTATCAGCAACATACATACCTCACACATATAACGCGCACCCACGTGCGCCTTGATGCGTTTGCACGCATAAATATGCCTGCATTAGGCGTGCGAATCTACAAACGACACGACGTGAACCGATCTGTCCTTTGATATATTACTTATCCCCATTTCCTTTTTTTCATTATAAAAAATGAGAATATTTCGATACGTATATCTTTTTTCATATAATATAATTACGTTATTAAAAGAAAAATTGAATAAGTCCCTGGTGTGATTGACGATTTCTAAATCGAGCAAATATTTTCTAATGTCGGTAAAAAACAACACGTGATTAAAACAATCTACGTGAGTCAAGTTATAAACGTGCAAGCACAAACTCGGTTGGGCTAGCTTAATCGACGTAAATAAGTTGGCGTTGGTAGCTCTCTCTTTCCCCTCCTAGACGAGAGAATTTAAGAATTAAAGGTTCTCGCTTTTCGCAGTACGTTTTATGCCGACCGGCTCACCTTGATCGCGCCGGTGCAACTCACGACGAGGTGCAGTTTTGTTAATTATCCGACAAAAACAGCAGGCGCGATCCCACGCTTTGCCGGCCACGCTATCAAGCGGCGGGACGCTATCACGTGCGCGCGAACGGTGATATATCCGCGAGGCCGAGGTGCTAAGAGAAGGGAAAAATAACGCTGCAAGATTTCTCATACCATTTGCCGATTCTTCGCCGAAAAAATCGTGCTCGTCGCGTCTAAATGCAGCAAAATATCTCACCGGAGTTTAGCCCTTTATGCAAAATTTTTAAAGAAAAATGTCGTTCGCTTTTATCTGAGTACTCTTTTAAACTAAAAATCAGTGAAAATAGTTGGCACAAAATTTCATCGAAAATTAATGTATTTTGCAGATCTTTAGTGAAAGCATTAATATACTTTGTTCGTCCGTCTGACTATGATAAGATAATTTCATTAAAAAATCAGTAATAATCGTATATATTTGCAGGATGTAACTTATAAAGTTTGCTCTATTTATTTTGGATTGCTATTTTTTGAGAGATATGTATCCCCTAGGGATACATATCTGGAATGAAAACTATACTTAACTATTTAAATTCAGAATTATATACATATCGTATTTTCTGATTCTTAAAATGTGATAAATCCATAAAACTTAAACAAGATTCTTCTCTTGGTTAAACTTCGATATTTCTCTTTAACAAAATTTATGTTATACATGTTACTATAAATTTATGTTATATATAATATTATAATATATGAGATGGATTTTAAAAAATCACATTGGTTGAAATAGCCATTATTACTGATTTTTTCCGTGAGATTTCACTGATTTGCAGTGTTTGTACTCTTATAACTGATTTCAAATCAAAGGAATTTTTTTCCAAGGGAAAATCGACGAAGACCAATTCGTAAGTCGCATCTTGACACATTTTGAATGATTAAATAATTATTCTTTTTAATATGCGATATGAACGAATTTGATATTATTACACTCGCATATCCAGTTATTGCGTTTCTTATTGATCACGTTTCGTGGCCGGATACTTTTTTCACACGATTGCCATTTCTACTTGAGATTCCACGGACGATTCGAAAATACAAAATGCGAATAAAACCGTATGTGTACGTGACGGCGCCGCAAAAAATACCGGCATGCCAGATGTAATCCCGACGTTGAGGAATATAAAATGTTTTCTCTACGGCGCCGGCCGGGGTTTGTTTACGCATGTAACAAAGCTGCCTTGTAGAGAAGGAGAAGAGAAAAAAAAAAAAAGAAAAAATGAAGCGCTTCGTAAGTAGCATAGGAGAGTGGATGATGCAACCAGTCGTTTTCTCTTTACCATGACACAGTGTGGTTAATCCTCCGCCTTGGTGAAATATCCACATTAATTTTATGTTTCTTGCCGCTCCTCAACAGAATTCATTTATTCTATATCTATTTCATTATACAATTCTTTTAACGCGATCCTCCTCTTATGTTGATTTAATTAAAGATTTAGCAAATATTCAGGGAAATGTCAGTTTAAACACAAATTATAGCGAGCATAATTTATATCACACTTATTGATAGACAGATCTCTGTTGGAAACATTTGTTTTTAAATTACGAAGAGTAATCAATGCACAAAATTGAATGCTTTAAAATTTGTAGAAATTGTATTTTATTTATTTGTCTGATCAGACGCTACAATATTTAAACATATGTATATTTTAAATAACAGTCTAAATTTGTTTCTAATAATTTTATTTCTTTAATAGATTTTTTTTTCTAATATAGATCAGCAAATATTTAACTGCTTTTCTCGCATCTGTATCTATTTAATTGAATAATTGACAGAACGATTCAGCAAGCGAATTTTAATTAAGTTTTTGCGTTAAAAACACATCTCAAAATCAAAAGAGTAAACATCTTGCTTTATTCGATCGTTACAGGTCAGGATGCCAGCATGGTATTATCACCGCTGATAGGTGTGGTGGTCGGCGCTCTGGTGACTCTGGTCCTCATCATCCTGATCGTGGTGATCAGAGTGCGTCGAGAGCGCGTGGCGAAACCGCGGCACGAGAAACCGGCGGAACTCAGCGAATTACCGCCCCAACAATACCCCATGCAGAATTCCCAGCAGACCGTGGAGACTGATCCCGATGTGATCCCGAACAAGTTCGGTAAGACTCCTATCGATACCGCGAAAGGGAAACAGCCCGCGCGCGAATCCGATTACGATCGTTTGCTCCTTTGTACGTTTGCCAATACTCTATATATATGTGATAGAGAAAAAGAAAGAGTCACGTGCGTGATTTCTTCAAGCGGGATAACTGAAAACTTTACTGGCATTGCACTGGTTGCACTTGTCTCAATGTGGAGACAATGATGCAATTGCCACAATTTGCGTCTCTGTTTTTATCCTTAAAACCCGCTTTATTAAACGATCTATGATTCGCAATAAAAATTAAGGTTGAATTCTTATTATGTTTTTGTGTCGCATATCCTAATGTATGTGTATATTACTTTTTCAAATGTCTGTATCATGACACGTAAAATTATAAATAGATTTCTGTCGCGAAATATATTATCATTGTATAAAGCAAGGTTTAGAATAGCACCAGTAAAGGAATTAATCGCGTCTCATTCCTCAAATGCGCTCATCATAGAGAAAATATCGAGTTGCAGCAGTTCTTATTCTTGTCGCGAGATTTTTAATAGAAAAACGAGGAAAAACAAGGAAAACCAGGAGATCAGGGCTCTTTATTTTCGCATTTATCCTCGCATTCGACAGTTTTCGATAGAGATCCCCGTCTGCTTCGGTGTTCTAGAGGGTAATCTCGTGGAGGTCAGCCCGCCGAGTTACCCGGGCGGTTATCCCCCGGGACACTGGGTCACGCCTGGACCTACGCCAAGCATAGACGAGCTTTGCCACAAGTTCACGGGGAGGCCGACGGAGCTGAGGTTACCGTCGAGGAGCACAATATCGAATCTGCCGGGGATGCCGGTGACGGGGGTGATGGTGGGCGCCGGTCAAGGCGTCGTCATCGGCGGTGCCCAGGGTGTCGTCGTGGGTGGCGGTCAGGGCGTTATCGTGGCCGGCGAGTGCCTCGACGGCGAGGCAATCAAGCGAAGACTGATGGCCAACAGACTACCGGAGAGCTGCGTCTAGAAGCGAGGCTCGTCCACAGGTGACGTGGTGTCGTCGTCGTCGTTGTCGTCGTCACCCTGATAGCAATCGAGAGATGTACCTATCGCGAGACCCAGGCGAAAGACAAACTCGAAGAACACTTGTCAACGTATCCAAGAGCAATTTTACAGAGAGAAAGAGAGAGAGAAGTCCTGTCGAGGAAGCGTTTACGTTGTCCGTTTTCTTGACAGCCGTCTATTAGCTTTAACGTGTGTTTACGATACGGCGCGATCGACTCGACGAAACTTGGTGGAGACGATGGGGTTCGAGCGATCAATAGCAGGTCGGGATTACGTGTCGCGGATCGTGCATTATGTGTCTCGCGAACGATTGATTCCACGCGAGCTGGTCCAAGTTCTCACAATGCGATTTCTCGCGGAAATGGCTCACGAGATTAGAGACACCGTACGTCGCCGATTGTTTTCGAAACACAATCGCGGCGATCGTTACCTAGTTTTCTCTCCACGGGGCGAAGCGAGAGAAAGTATGCGGAGAAGTCAACCGAAAACTTTTCACAAACTTCCCGTTTCCCTCCTTATCCCCCACTTGCCTCGGTGGAAGGTATCGCGAAGTTTTAACATTCTGTCGTCTCCCGGTCGTTGACTTAACCGTCTTTGTTCCTCTCTTTGTTGCAAATCAAATGATCTTCGACGGTGTCTTGTCGAATGTTTCTTCGACGGAGTTCGCTTCTCTTCGTTGTAACGTTATAAAGGAACAACCGCAAATCGAATGAAAAGAGAACCGAATTTTTTGGCGAGACTCGCGAGAAAGCTACCTCGAAATTGAACTGGCAGATTGAATAAATACGTTTTCGGGAGAAATAACTTTTCCGCACATAAGATTTTTGTTACGCAAATATTGAAATCCCTCATCTTCTAATATTATATAGTTTGTAGAATTTTTTTCTAGCAAATAAGTAATTGATTATTTTTCCTCTTCTTTTCGTTTTTAGCTAATTTATTTTATTGTATATTTCTTAGTTTCAGAGGCGACTTTTTCTCCAAAATACATTAATCTTTTGCCTATTATTATCTGTTGCTCTTTTTTGGTATCTCCCCACGAACTTGTTAGCATCTCTCGCGATGTCCCTAAATAAATCTGAATTCTACCGACGAGACGTTGGTCCGGAAGCATCAGGCCGTGAAACACGAGAAAAGATAAAAGGCTCTCGAACGAACCCTTTTTCCGATGACTCGAATGAAGACGAATGGAGGAACCGCGCGAAAATATACCGGAAGGATAGGGAGGGGGCGAAGAGCGGGGGAGGAGTACTCGGAGAGAAGAAATCGGACGGAGAGGAAGGCGGAATGAAAAGGGAAGAAAAGAAATGCGCCCGATGCCACTTCGGCCTGTGTGTAGTTTGAAGGCGTGAAATGCAGTTTTAAGGTTGAACGATCGGCTCCGATATCGCGATAAAAAGCGAGAGATGGGGGCGGAAAAACGCGCGGAGAGACACTGCGGGCATCGATATATGCCGTTTTAAATTCCGAATTCGATATTTCTGGGCACACAACTTTCGCGCGCGATATCGAAAAATAGTATCAAACTTGCACGTTCGCTCACGTGCTTGCGAATAACGATACCATCAAATTTCATACAATCTTCAACCCCCCGCCCCCTACCCCTCAAAAACAAATGCTCACGAATCATCGACAAGGCGCGCAGCAACATTGAAACATCCTTAGATCGCATCGATCGTATTCTATCTATCTGTGTGTATGATACGACGTGCGAGTAAATGATTAAATTAACAGGCAAAAAAGACGCAACTCCCTTTCTCCTCCTATTCAGGGGAGAGGATGAATGCGAATGTACCGAGCCGCGTAATGTACAAAGCGAAACGATTCTTAGAAAATCAAGAAAAGGCGCGTGTTATACTCTATTGATAATTGTGTGTGTACGTGTGTGTGTGTGTGTGTGTGTGTGTGTGTGTGTGTGTGTGTGTGTGTACGTGTGATAGAACATTTGTAAATTTTTCTACCGCTGATATGAGTTTTCTGTATTCCCGTAAAAATGTCGGATAACTCTTATGAGATTATCGAATATTCTCAAACGTTTTCATCGAAATACTCTTAGCCTGGATGACGTATGTGTGTGTGTGCGTGTGCGCGTGTGTAAATATATACATAGTTTAACGAGTTCTTTATCGAATCGTTATTCGCGATTTCGTTTGATTCGCAACAGGGAGAGAAAGAGAGAGAGAGAGAAGGAGAAAGAAAAGAAGAAGAGGGACAGCACACGATACGCGGTGTCCGCAAATTTCTATGCACGCGTGAAGGAAGCTTCACTATATAAGGATGTTTGCAAAAACTGGTCTTCCACGTGACACTTGGCGACGAAAGTCATGAAACTTCTCACGCGCGAGAACAGAACTAACGAATCGACACGAAAAGCGTATCGCTAATGGAATGATGTAACGTGAACTTTGTGCTCGTGAAAAGTTCTCTCGCTTTGAATGATCGAAAGACTCCGTAATGTGTATAAACAAAAAAAAAAAAAAACAAGGAAATACGAGTGAGAAATCGACGAGTGAATAACGAGTGTCGTATAACAGCGCGTTATCTCGTCGGGATGCGAGAAGCGACCGACATCGGAATCGATCGTTGAACGTGTCTATTTTCGATGTGTAAAAACGTTAATGATCAAGTACACACGAGATACGATTGCTCGTTAGCTAATGTGTATCGCTGTATATATTATCACAAAAGAGTCTGTAACGATAAGTTGACGAACGTTCAAGTTTTCGAAATGATCGTCGAGCGCACCTGGTTTAATTATTAACGTTACATTTCACCAGAGAAGTATCGTTAAAATTGTTTCCGCAACGATTGTCAAGCGCCATTTTACAGAGATTTTTTATTCTCTCCCCTCTATGTTTTTCAATGATGCGCACATATCTTTTACGTCCGTGAGAATCTGTTCGAAATGTTTTAGGATGAATGACGGAGAGAGATATGATATAACATATTAAAACGGACCGAGGATTAGAAGTAAAACAAAGCACTGCCCATTCATTTTGTAAAACGGGGTACGTCGGGGATATTAACACACATACACATACACACACACATATATACACACGTATGTGCGAGGATTTTATTCAGCGAGAGCGAGGAAGATCGCCAAAGCAGGTACCGCAGATAATCGTGAGTTCTCGTTATCGACGTAACCCAACCACCAATCAAGTGCAAAAGAAAAAGAAAAGAGCAAACGCGTCACAAGCAAATAATAATAGCGAGTAACGATTGTACATAATCAGTTGTACGTAACGACGCGACAGAGTCCATGTAAATCGATCGACGTCGTCGAAGGTTCACTGTATAGGTGATTTCATATCAGATCCCCTCCCCCCGCATATCGTTTAACTAAAGTCGTATGTATATACATGACATCATGTTTTGATCTGAAATAAACTGTTTAATTGTCCGAATTTCATGCTACGTGTTTATTTTGCGTGATACTATTCGTTACCAGAGGGTACCTGTCCGCGCAACACGATCAATATACAAAGTGTCCTATGTAGATTGGGTACAGAATAGTATTTCTTATCAAAAATAAGCATATTTTTTTCGCATTTTATGATGTGTCAATACAGTGTGTTCGCTGTTTCTTAATTCTTCGTGTAAAAAAAGTTTGGTAATTTTGTTATATAATTAAATCTCTAATATTCACATTCTTCTAATGGAACACTTTTGAAGATAAATTTAATTTGGGTTGACACGAAACAAATTTCCTTATAGCAGCAAAATATTCTTTCCGGTTTTGATGTAAGTATTAATATATTAAACAATGAGATATCTCGCGAAAACAATGCATTTCCCGGAAACTCTGTCAGAGAAAAAAAGAAGCTTGTTTCCTTTGACCAAGAATACGGTATGTATTCTACCTTTATAGGATGCCTTGTATACCCAGAAGAGAGAGAGAGAGAGAGAGAGAGAGAGACAGAGACAGAGAGGAATGCGCTTATAAAGTAAAATAGGCGCCTTGACAAACGACGCTCACGTGCCGCAAAAAGATAGACGCGCCTGAAAAATGGGGGCCGAAACTTCCTTCCGGTTCGACGAAAAAGGAATACTCAGCACGTGAGGAGTCAACCTCGGAGCGACGGCTTTGAGAAATTCCTGAGCGGTCGTACGTAAGTCTTAAAATATTATGCGAATACACGTCATTAAAAGTATTCTTTTAACTTGAATTAACGTATTGTCACCGAAAAAAAGCAAATAGTCACTGGTCTTATTTATAAACATAACAAATCAGTGAAATCTCAGTAAAAGAATCAGTTAGTGGTAATGGCTTTGTTTCAATCAGTAATATATTAGGTCTACCGGAAAGTTCTGTCCGTTTTTGGAATAAAACAAAATACAAATTTTTATTACCGTCAATAAACTTTATTAAATAATGTAATTGCCATTATTATTAATGATTTCTTGCCAGCGTGAGGGCAATTTGTATATCCCTTTTTCGAAAAATGTTTTATCTTTTGATGCGAAAAATTGAACCAGTGCTTGTTTGATATCTTCTTCATTTTTTAATTTTTTGCCCCTCAAAAAATTTTGTAAGGACAAAAACAAGTGATAGTCGGTGGGTGCTAAGTCCGGGGAATATGGTGGATGCGACAGAATTTTCCAGCCTAGTTCTGCAATTTTTTGACGAGTATCCAAAGCAGCATGTGGCCTGGCATTATCATGATGCAGTATGATGTTCTTCCTATTGTACATCGCCGGCCTCTTTTCTTGGACTGCTGTATTTAAATTATCCAGTTGCTGACAATACTTCTCCGAATAATGGCAATTACATTATTTAATAAAGTTTATTGACGGTAATAAAAATTTGTATTTTGTTTTATTCCAAAAACGGACAGAACTTTCCGGTAGACCTGATATATTTAAAAAAGTGCGTGTCTTTATATAATATTATACATGACATAAAACAGCAATATATTTTATTAAAGAAATATCTGAGTTTTTGATTAAGAGTCAGTTTGTTTTTTGTAGATTTATCATATGCTAAGAGTAATAAAATTGATATGTATATAAATCTGAATTTTTAAATACTAGTTATACGTATTTCATTTTAGATATGTGTGTGTGTGTGTGGAGACTTCTATCAAGAAAATAACAATCCAAAATAAATAGAAAAAACTTTAAAAAATACATCTTATAAATATGTATGATTACTGTTGATTTTTTAGTGAAATCTTACTGAAACACGAGATGGAAGAGTAAAATATGAGTATTTTCACTAAAGATCAGTGAAATATTCACTGATATTCGAAAATTTTAGTGAAATTTTGTGTCACTGCTTCAATCAATGACATTTTCAGTTTAAGAGAATAAGCATTTTTGATTTTCTGCACAATATGTGTATATTTTTTAATGACTCAACATTACAATATACATCTATGCACTGTGTGTAGGCGAAATTCACGCGCTTGTATTAGAAACACTGCAGCGAAGGTATGTAACACTAGATGTAGTTTTTATTCCGATTTTATTCAAGGTTTTACGGCAATAGACAGACGGACCATAAAAATCGCTTGAGATGCACGCTCCACGAGTTCCCTTGTGTGCCCTTCAGCATAACGGAGAGAAAAAATGGAAAAGATGCCGCGCGGAATTTTAATCCTCACCTTACGTATTCGCGGTTACGCCGCTTGTGTAAGAGCAAAAAAAAACGACTCCATATAAAATATTTTTTAATAGCAACAGCGCGCGCGAATCGAGCACGCTGTTTACTTCGGAGGAAGTTCTGATCTCACAATAATTCACGTTTGCTTAAAATTTCACGTAATCTCGAGACTACAAAAGTTTACTTTGTACGCGGAAGTTTTTCGAGAAAAATACTATAATACGATCCATGGCGATGTAATATCTTAAATATTGACACAATTTGAGGAATCATATCTGCGCCGAGTTCTCGTCAGAGATGTGCTTCGCGTGCGCTTCTTCCGTTCCTCTGGTTACATCGCACGGGAATAAGAGATCTCGCAGCTTTCGATGCATCTCCAGTGGCACACCGACGATAATATCCATGCATTTCACCAGCGCGCGATTGTATGCTTCTGACATAGAGTATCTTATTCCCTCCAGATGTGGTAGCTGTACCTGCGGAGATGCGGATAAAAAGCGTCTCAACTCGAGAGAGCGAAGTAGCAGATCTGTGCGATTTTAGGAGAAAAAAAAAAGAAAACTCGACGTTTTTATTTACCGGTTGATCATTAGGAGAAAACGTGCTTATTATTCTGTAATACAGATCCTCCGTTTCGGTACTGTCGCCCCAAAGACCCTCCGCCCAGGTCCAATAAATAAGACCGGCGGCGATAGTGCCTTTCAAAAGGCACGTCGCGATCCCGCAAAATCGTTCGCCGCTTGAAAGCGGCTTCTCGGGACGGACTGTTTTGCAAAGCTGCATGGAGATACCTTATTTGAGACTTTCACAAACAAGAATACGGATTTTATAAATACTCGATTTTATAGATACCGCTCGTTCATTCTAGTATTCATCAATTGTTCTTTAATCATGCGTTTTTCACGACACGTTTATTTAATACGATTGCACACAAGATGACTTTTATCGAATCACGATGAATATCAACGATCGCAAAGATAAATACGTCGAGTCTTTCGTTCGCTATATGTCATCGTGTGCTTGACCTCTCTC